GCCCATTTTATGAAGAGCAAATGGAGGCTTGGGGTGGTTAAATGACCTATATATGAGGTCGCACAACACTAAGTGACAGCCGAGGTTCAGACCCTGGCTGCCTAACCCCAAAGCCAGGCCTATACCCTCAAGAAGACTGTGTTGGTTACTCTGGGACCCTCACATCACCCACCAGGTGCCACTGCTGAATGAAGGGACTCAGAGATGCTGCAGGGTTTGCATTGCTTCCTCCCCAAAGCTTCCCTGGTTCTGTAGGCTGGGTCAAAGTCTGCTTTTTGTTCCCACGGTCCTGTGCTCCCCACAGTAGAGCATGTTTCTAGCCCACTCTGTTATAACTGTCCATTTTCTTGTCTCTTCAACCAAATTGTGAGACTCAAGAGGTTAGGGATCATGCCTGGCCATGCTGGTTCGCCACTGCACTCCTGATACCTGCCTCAGTGCCTGGCATAAAAAGGCTCCTCACAAAATGTTTGTTGATTGAATAAAAATGAATGAATGACATCATATATTTATTTGCCCAAAGGCCTGGGGATTTGGAGCAAACAGTATCTCCTCCCCTGTCCCGGACCCGTCCTTGCCGGAAGTGTTCAGAAAGCCTTTGGGGGCGGGGGTAGGGGTACCAGAGTTGTCTTTGAGCCCTTTCTTCATCTTTCCCCAGGTATATGGGGCATCCAATGTGGAACTCATCACCCGGACACGGACAGAGCATCTTTCAGAACAGCACAAGGGCAAGGTCAAAGGTAATGAGGCAGAGGCACATGGGAGGAGGTGTGAGGAACCCCTTTCCACATGAGCACCTCCATCAGTATTCCCTCTGACATGCCAGCAAAAACCAGTATCATTTATTTAGGCAAGTAGTTTTCAATTCAAGTGCCACGTCCTAATCACTGGTAGTGGCTGCCTGGAGTGCTGCCAAGGTGACTCTAAAGCCACATTTGGGTTCAATGGGAACGAATTGATTACTAATGTCTGCACTGGATTTGGGAATAGAGAGAGATGCCATGTATGCTCTGTGATGGCCATTCTGGTGGGACATGCTCTAGGCAGAATTCCGGGGGGCCCCGCCGCCAATTCTCTGTGCCCGCTGATACTTCACCTGCCTTTCTGGGCATCATTTAGTCGGTCTAAAGTAGAGAGACCTAATTCCTACCTCACAGGCGAACAAATGAATATGGAAGTGCCTGAGAGAAAACACGCACATGCACAGGCATACCCCGAAACTGCTCACCAAAAGCAGGTATTTTTGTCCAGTGTCATCAGCCTGGAGAGAGACACTTTTGGAAGTTTCTCCTGAGCCCCAGGCCTACTTTTTATTCCAGGTATACTTGTGGTGGTCCTGGCCCCTGCCACAGATGTATCCTCAGTCACTTTCAGATGAAGGTGCCTAGATGTATGGTGTGGATTAGCAGTCTGCCTGCCCCCTAGGAACCAGCCCCCTAGATCTTGGGTGCTGTCACTTCTGAGGGCTGCAATGTCCTCTAAGGTGGCACATTTCTTATAGGTTGCAAGACACCCCTGCAGTCCTTTCTGGGAATTGCTGAGCAGCATGGGGGCCCCCAAAATGGGGTGAGTGTGTGCCAGGAGTGTCCCTGGGTGGAAGGGTATGGATATGTCTCAGGAGAAGGCCCGGGAGGTGTCCTGCTTAGCATGGCCTGTGGGCCTCTTTTCCACAGTACCCAAGACCATGTCGGCTCCCCAGTGGCAGGGGGGACAGCTCTGGGGCCTGTAATACCAAATGGCTGGCCTGGCATCAGGGCCTGAGAAGGGCTCATGGGCCCCTCCCCATGTGGTGCAGACCCTGATCACTCAGACTCTGAGCCAAGCCAACCCCACTGCCATCACCGCAGAAGAGTACTTCAACCCCAACTTTGAGCTTGGCAACCGTGACATGGGCCGCCCCATGGAACTGACCACCAAGACACAGAAGTGAGGTCCCCCGCTGGTGTTGGGGAGGGTGGGCAGGGCAGGATGGGGCAGGGGTTTCAGAAGGTTCTGGGAGGCCATTGCTTCTACAATGTCCCTCATGCCTTGGGATCCCTGGGGGGGCAGGTTCAAGGCCAAGCTGTGGCTGTGTGAGGAGCATCCCCTGTCCCTGTGTGAGCAGGTAGCCCCCATCATTGACCTCATGGCTGTCAGCAACGCGCTTTTTGCCAAGCTCCGGGATTTCATTACCCTGCGCCTGCCTCCTGGCTTCCCTGTCAAGATTGGTGAGACACCACCCCCATTTTCCCATGGCTGCTGTTGTGGGGGGGGCTTAGAGGAGGTAAAGAGTGAGGGGGGCTAAGGTGTGAAGGGGTGGGTGGTGGCACCTGATGGTTTCCTCATCCTCAGAAATCCCCATCTTTCACATCCTGAATGCCCGCATCACCTTCGGGAACCTCAATGGCTGTGACGAGCCAGTGCCTTTGGTGCGAGGCAGCCCCAGCAGTGAGACCCCTTCCCCAGGCAGCGACTCCTCCAGTGTCAGCAGCTCCAGTTCCACAAGTGAGCCCTGTCCCCCGCCTCACCTACTCACCGGAGCCCTCGCTGCCCCTCCCTGGGGAGCCACTCTGACCTGAGTCTGCCCTCAGCCTCCTGCCGCGGGTGCGAGATCTCCCCGACCTTGTTCGAGGCCCCGAGAGGCTACAGTGTGCTGGGTGGCCAGCGGGAGCCGGCGACCCGCGATGATGATGACGACCTTCTGCAGTTTGCCATCCAGCAGAGCCTGCTTGAGGCGGGCAGTGAGTATGACCAGGTGTGTCCCCCGTGGACACAACGGGCCACCTAACTGCGGTGCTGCCATAGCCAACAGGCCCACGCCCTCTCCCTCCAGGTCACCATCTGGGAGGCACTAACCAACAGCAAGCCGGGCACTCACCCCATGTCCTTCGAGCGTCGCCGCCAGGACAGGTCAGTGCCCCCCAGGATTTGGAGACACCTACCCACCCCAAGTAGAGTATCCCATTACTTTGTCACAGCAGGTGAGGGCACAGCCCACTGAGCGGCCCCTCTTGGCCCCGAAAAGCTGTGGTACCCTCACCAGGGGCCGCACGGGAATTGAGACGATTTCTACCACACACTTTCCCAACTCTGGGGTGGGCAAGCAGTACTCAGAAAGTGCCTGCGTTGCAGGGGCCAGGCCTCGTGGCCTCCGGACCCCTCATGAGACAGGATGCCAGGACCAGGGTTCCAGAAGATGACCACATACGCTTGCTGCTGTCTCCTGGGAGGATGAGCTTTATAGGGGCTGGGATCTGGCGCAACTGGGTGGGAGCCAGGGAGGTGACACAGGACTGGAGGGTGGCAGGTCTGCTCTGGCCTGGGACCTCCACACCGGCTCCCGGCCAGCTCCCTGCCAGTTGTGCCTAGAGCCCTAGATGTGTCTTCTTTGCCCCCCAACCCCGAAGTGCCCCGCCCACGCCACAGCGCCAGCCCGCGACCCCCACAGCGGTTCCCAGCCCTCGGCCCAGCCCCAGCCCTGGTAGCCGCGTGTTCCGGAGCTACGATGAGCAGCTGCGGCTCGCCATGGAGCTGTCTGCGCAGGAGCAGGAGGAGCGGCGGCGGCGCGCGCGCCTGGAAGAGGAGGAACTGGAGCGAATCCTGCGGCTCTCACTGACCGAGCAGTAGTGCCACTGCCCGGCCTTCGGCCACGCCCTGTGAGCCCCGCCCCAGAGCGAGAGGGGCCCGACCCACGCACACTGTGGCTGGCGACCAGAGCCACCTCCTCAGGGGTCTAGGGGCGCACCATTCACCAGAGGAGGAGGGATTCGGCATGGCCGCGGGGTACCTTTCCGGGCCAGGGCCCTGGAGGCAGCTGGCACGCTCGGTCCCCCTGCTTTAATGTGTCCTGACCCCCAGCCCTCTCCCCTGGGCCCAGGCCTGTCCAAGGGCTGAGCCAGGCGGTCCTGGGTGGGAGACCGGTCCCTAGAGGAGCAGTGTCTGCACCCTTGCTCCTTCTGGCTCGCCCTACTTTCTGCTCATTGACCCCACTCCAGGACACTGCCCGTGAAGCCTTTGCATTACCGCTCTTCACCCCTGGAGGGCAGCTGAGCTCCCCACGTGCTGTGTTGCTGCTTTGTTCCAGACACAAACCGGCACGTCACGGGCCCGGCCCCTCCCCCACCCCGGCATTTCAGCGTCAAGTGCACTTAGCGGGGTGCCCGGCTCCCCCAGCCCTTACACCCCTCCCAGGTCTCAGGGTGGTCCCAGCTTCAATTTGAGCGGCCAGAGGTTGGAGACCCCTTCCCCAGACATGTTTTTGTGATCAGGGAGGGTCCCCAAGTTGGCCCCCCCAGACCTGGGCAAGGCCTGACTCCCACGTGCTGTCCTGGCAAGTGAGAGGGCATGTCGGGCTGGGGCAAGCACTAGGCCCTACACTAGACTGGGCACCGAGAGGGCTTGCCCAGTGCCCTGGCACCCTCCCCCACCCCTTCCCACCAGCTGCTGCTAGCCCTCTGTGGTTGTGCGTCCCACTTGCCCCCACCCAGGGGCCGATTCTAAAACCCTTCATCCAATGGTGCTAACCCCCGGCTCTCCCCTGCCCCGCCCCACCCACCCAGAGAAGCACAGACCCCGCCAGGGGCAGGGGGCCCGCAACACACCCTTGTCCGAGTTCTCCCTGACTGGCCATCCTGGCCCAGCCAGGGAGGTTCAGAAGGGACACAAAAGGGATGGATGGAAGAAAAGGACAAAGAGAAACTCTTCCTCATATCCCCTTCCCTGATGCCAGGGGCACCAGACTGATTCTGAGGCACAAAGTAAAGAGGCTTCAAACCTGAGGCTTTGCCTACCTACCTTTACTGGGGAAGAATGCCCACCTGAGTTCTGGGGGTTCCTTCTAAACTTCAGTGTGGGGGGGGGCCCTGAGGTGAGAGGATGCCTGGTGGGTCCTGAGCCTCGGCAGGGTTGCATTTGTCAGGGTCCCCAGGAGCGTAACGGTAGTGTTTGTAGGGACTAGGGGAGTCTTGCCCTCCTCACCCCTCATCCATGCAGGAGGCACAGACTGAGCACTTAGTAAAAGATTTCATCCAGTATGTCTTGTTTCCCCCCTGGAGTCAAGGCTACAGCAGAGGACTGGGGGCAGTGTGTGTGTGTGTTGGGGGGAGGGTGGTGAACCTGCTTCCTCAGGTGAGTTCTGGTACCTGTCCTGCAGAGGTGCCCCCAGGAAGCTGCCCTCTCTCTGCTGGGTGTAGCCAGTGGGACCCGCTCTACAGCCAACGGGTTGTATTTGTCTGTAGACCTGAGGTGACGCCCGTTGGGTTTACCACTTATGTCGGTGGAGGTAAGCGAGCTGACTAGAGGGAGCAGCGCTATAATTTCCCCTAGCCGGTCCGGGACACCTGGCAAATCATCACCCCTCTGAGGTAAAGTCCAAGATCCCCCCAGATCCCCAAGCGTCACGCTAATAACTAAGTACTTCTTCTGCCCTGAGCGAGAAACAAAGGGGGACACCATGTCGCTGCGCAGCACCGTTGCTGAGGCCCTGTCACCCCGTCCTCCCAAGGCCAGTTCCTGCTGAGTCCTGGAGGAGGCACGCAGCACGCGGAGGGTGCCCGTCTCTGAGACGTTCCATGTGTCTAGGCCTCCTGCGAGGGGAGGAGTTCCATTCCCAGCCCAGAGAGGTGGGGTCCCAAGTTCCAGTTCAAAACCCTGGGCCAGCCGAGTCTGTGCCCCGGCCCAGTCTGGACCTCCAGGCTCAGAGCTGTCCCCGGAGTGCGGCGCTAGTCCGTGCCGTCCACCAGCTCGCACAGCATGTTCTCCAGGGCCGTGATTCGCTGATCCTGGGCCTGCACCTGCTCTCGAAGGGCCTTGATCTCCTCCAGCAGTCTCTCCAGAGTGTGCTGCTGCTGGGGCGGGGAGGACAGAAGAGGCGGTGTGGGCCAGGGGGCAGGAGGGAGACGGTAGGGAGCCCAGGAGCCTGGGTGGAGCCAGGTGGGATCTTACCGACAAAGAGGTGTCGCTGGCTGACTGACTGCGGCGTGGGCCGGAGGGTGGGCGCACGTCCAAGATGTTGGGCTTGGTGACTCGGAGCTCCCGGTGCTTGGGGGGCACGTAACCATCCCTCAACGAGATGAGCACAGGTTCGGCGTCCTGGCCCGACAGCCATTCGTCTGCTTCTAGAGCCGGCTCGGGGCCTGGTGTATCCGGGTATAGGTCGTCCTGGAACAAGTCTGACTGCGGGGTGCGGGACCAAGAGGACGAGTGTTAGCAGGAGGCTGGGACTGCTCCGCTCCCTTCCACCGTGGAGCCCCGTCCAACTCCTCTCCTGGTCCCTCACCTTGCGGGGCACAGTCATGATGATGGGTTCACACTTTCTTTCGTGCAACTTGTAGAACCTATAAGGGAGTGTGGGGTTCAGCGCCTCCGCAAGCTCCCACTCCGTTAACTTCTACCTGGGACCAACGGGGTAGAGGCCAACACTTGCTGAGTGCCTACCAGGCATTGCACTTTAAACACATTGTTGGTCCAGCTGGTAAAATACCTCTGTTGGGGTGTTTATCATCATTTTACAGGTGAGGAAACTGAAGTTCAGAAGTCAAACTAGATAGCGCTGGGACTGGCCCTGGAAACAAGCTTATTTGACACCCTCTTCCTCACTCTTTCCCAAAGATTGCACTATTGGGGAAGCCCCCATATCTTCCCCCATGGGAAGTGAGGACAGAGGCAGGCAAGCGGGAAGGGTGGAGGCTGCTGACCGGGCGATCTCGCATTTGCTGACATCCAGCCCCCGTTTGGGCATGAAACCCATGCCCCTCTGAGGCTCCTTGCTGCTGAACGTGTTCAGGTAGTGCACGAAAGGTGGCTCGTCGGTAATCTCAAAGTACCGAATGCTGCTGTCGCCCTGCAAAGCCAGTTGGTTCAGAGACGCACCCGGGAAGGGGCGGGCCCTCCGCACCTCTCTCCAGCCCCTGCCCTCCCCTCCCAGCCACGAGCACCTTGCCGCACAGGTAGATGATGCTGGAATCGGCATCGTAGAAGGGCAGTAAGACCCCGTTGCTAGTGTCCATCTCCTGCAGTGCCACTGGCTCCTCGAAGTTGTTCTGCCCGAGCACAGGAGGTGTGACCAGTACAGTCCCGCGTTCTGGGCCGCTTCTGGAGCCCCTGAAGCCCCAGCAGGATTCCTGCCCGCCCCAAACCCGGTGCGCTCCCGACGCAGGTCTGGCGAATCGAGCAGCAGGCCCCGCCCCTGGACGCGTCACTCCCGGTCCCCACCCCCCGCCGCCCCGCCCCGCCCCGCACACAGGCCCCTCGCTCCGAGGCATGCAGTCACCGCAAACCACCCCCAGGGACTCGGCATCACCAGGTGGGGGCGCCAGCATGGGCTCCTTCAGGCGACGCAGCAAAACTGGGCAGAGGGGTGGGTGTGGGGATGGTAGGCGCTGCAAAGAGAGCAGCAGCCCCCAGCCCTGTCCAGGTGGGCATGCCCTGCGGGTGGGGGGCGCCTGGCCCCTCTCCCGTGATGCCAGTCCCGGGGCACACACCCCAAGCTTCCAGCTGCGTTACCGGGTCCCACAGGCCCAGCTCTCGCTGGCTCATGCGGGTGAAGCCCGTGGTGAAGATATGACCCTGGCGTGTGAAGATGGCCCGCATGGGCCTCATCCCCTCGTGGGCCGCAAACCTCTCCTGGGGGCGGGGGAGGGGGAGACAGGGAGAGGCGTCACCCAATAGCTGCCTGCTCTGGGGATCCTGGAGGGCCGAGCAACCAGCTTGCAGACAGGTGCGGGAGAAGGGGGCGGAGACGAAAGGGGGTCTAAGAACTCAGTTTCTGGGGGCCCTGGCCGGCCCGGGGCCTGGGGCGCGTCTGGGCCCTGAGAGAGCGGGAGGCGTGCATCTCTCAGCAGATGGTGAGCCCTCAAGCGCCCTCGGAGGCTGACCCCTGGAGCCCCAGCCCCTGAAGCAGGGGATGTCTGCTGGTTTCCCGGGGACGCGGTGAGGCTGTTCCCAGACAGGCACTTCCCGCTCCGCTTCAGCCTTCTTGGGCACCGGCTACCGCCTGGGAGGGCGCTCCGGGCTGACCTAGCGAAGTAGCGAGCGAACGCGCCCGGCGCGGCCTGGCCTACCGGGTCCCAGAGCGCGAGTTGCCGCTCACTCATCCTGCTGAAGCCGGTGCTGAGTAGCTTCCCGTCTGCGGTGAAGACGGCCCGCAGCGGGCGGGCGCCCTCGTGAGGCCGGGCTCGCTCCTGCTCGCGGGGTTAGTGGGTTAGAGGGCCCGGCGGTGCGCGCACTAGGCGCAGACAAACGTGCACGCGCGGTTCGCGTTAGACTGAGGCTGAGGCAGGCGCAGCCACCCTCCCAGCGCACCCAAATGGGACCAGCAACTCGCGAGGACTGCCCCCTCTCCCCAGCCCAGCGAGTCAGCTAGGGAGGAAAGGGCCCGGCCGCGTGCCAGTGCCAGGCCCCAGTCCCTGGAAGACAGCAGCGGGTACCGGCTGAGAGGAGAGGGGTCCGGGAGCGTTTCATGCAGGTTCTAGTGGGAGGATAGGTTGCAGCTTCTCCCCTTCTCAATCACAAGTTGAGGAGCGCTCCTCTGAGCTCCCGAGAAGGGGGGAGGGGAGGGAAAAGGAGTGGGGCAGAGGGCTAGGGGCTTACTTAGGACAGGGAGCTGTGGTTGCAGACAACGCGCGGGGTGGTGGCGGTGGTGGTGGGTGGGAGCACTGGTCTCTGCAGATGGGGTGGGGGAGGTGAGAGCTGGCACCAGGGGCTCAGAAGATTTCGGGTACAGGGGCCTGACAGTTGGTCCCTGGGGGAGGGGCTGGGGAGTGGGCAAGCCAGGCACTCACCGCCACCACCTGACCCTTGCGGGGGTCGATAATGCGCAGCGTCTTGTCCTTGCAGGTGGTGGCTAGTAGGCTACCATTGCTGTTCCAGCACACGCTGTGGATGATGTCTGGGTGCATGTCGTCCAGGCTCAGGAGTACCTCCCCAGTGCCCACATTCCAGATGATGATCACATTGTCACCACCTGCCCAGAGTGGCCATGCACCATCACCTGGGTCCTGCCTTTGCCACCCCCCACCCCTACCCCCACCCCAAGATCTGCGGTAGGGACCCCTCTCCAGGCCCCCAGACCTGCACTGAGCAGGACATTCCGGGCAGTGGGGTGCCAGGAGAGGATGCCCACACGCTTCGAGTGGCCTTCTAATGTGATGATGGGTTCTGTAATGTTGCGCAGAGGTGTATAGTCTGGAATCTGCCACACCTGGGTAGGAAGAAAAGGCAGAGAGTGGGTGGGACAAGGAGCCACTTTGTCCCTCCCCCCTCCCTCACTTCCCATCCCCAACTCTCCAGTCCTGCTGGGTTTCTTGAGTGGTGTCAAATGCAAGGCAAGATGGGATGGTGCCTGCCTGGTCAGAAGCAGCTGGAAGCCAGGAGGGGGCACTGCCAGCTCTCCAGAGACCTCCCTATTCACCCCAGCAGGGAGACTTCAGAGCACTACCCGCCCCCCTTTCAGGCCCCAAATTGGCCATGGCTATAATTAGTCCTAAGCAGTGCATGCTGGGAGGGGGTGGGCATGTAGCTAAAAATAGCCTGGGAGCTGGGTAGGGCAGGGCCCTGGGACCCAGCACCTCCCTTACCACCCTCCCCAGGACAGGTGAGGCAGCCCTGCCTGCTTTCCCTGCCCAACTACCCATCAGCTTCCACCTGGCTCCTACCATGATGGTGGTGTCGTCTGAGGCACTGGCGATGACATTGTCATTGTGTGGGCACCAGTCAATGTCCAGCACAGGGGCAGTGTGCCCAGTGACCAGTGGGTAGTTCTTATCCACTCGCCCTGTCTGGAGGGGTCAGAGAGGGAGATGTGGGGCCACTCTCCTGTGCGTTTTTTGGGAGCAGGCAGTGGACATGTTTACATCTCAATTCTCTATCACCTATTTTCTCTTCGCAGACCCCTCTCTGCGCTTTCAATCCCACCCAGCCTACTTCCTGTACTTCACTGACGGCAGACAGAGGTGAAGTCATTTAATATCAGGGAATCAGACACAGGAAAGTCAGATGACTTAACCAAGGACACACAGCAAGGTACTGGTAGAGCCAAGACTTGAACTCTTAGTCCAGTGCTCTTCCAGAGCACCTACTTGGAAGGAGGTACTTTGGAAGGAGGAGGCTGTTCTTGAGCCTGTTCCCCCGCTTGGGATGTCAATGGGGAGCCCCTGGTGGAAGAGGTCAAGGTGAGATAACACACAGTGCAGTGGCTGATGGTCCTTTCCGAGCCGCCCTTGGCAGATCTCCACCTGTCACTGGCTTCCCTTGGAACCGCAAGCAGCAGGCACTCCTGGTGCCTGTTACCCCCAACCTGAGCTGAGGTCCATCTATTTTTGGTGTTTATGGGCTGTTTGTGGGGGCTCTGAGGCCTTTGCAGGGGTTGGCATTGGCCCAGACAGTAGGGGAGAAGGGTGGCAGTGTGGCACTGGAATGGCAGTTGTAACGGGGGGGGAGGAGGTGGCTCCAGCTGAAATTTGAGCCCTGGGGATGGTGTCCTTGGATGGTGTCTGCATTGTCCTGGAGTGAGTCACTGGCTATTGTCAGGCCTCTTCCTGCCACCTGTGGGGCCTCCCCAACAAGGTGTAGGGGGCAGAATGCAGGTCAAGGTCATGCTTGGGGTAGCTGTGCTTGGGGGGTGGACGTGGCTGAGGGGCTTGAGGCTACTCAGCAAAGGTGGCAGTCATTGCCTGGCCCCCTGCCCTGGGGTAGGGAGGGCTCTGGCCTTATGTGTCATATCTCCCTGAACTTTGCTCTTATTCTGCCTTACTGTAAGAACCGCCGTGGGGAGGTGGCCAGGGACTCTGGATAGATAGAGCCTGACTGTCCTTTGTGTGATGCCTGTGGTGTGATTTAATCTAATGGTTATCCTGGGCTAGGGAGAAAGATCCCCGCACCCAAAACATCAGAGGGTGTAACATTAGGAGAGATAGGAAGAGAATCTGACCAGATCCTGATTCCAATGCTTCCCAACGATCTCCACCACCCCTTCCTGGTCCCTGTGGGGAACAGGGTGCTGGGCTGTGAGTGGGTGCAGGCCACTGTGATGCTGCTGTTTTGGGACGGGTAAGGGAGCCTCCCAATGGGTCTGTGAGGGCTTGGGGACCGGGGAGCAGCCAACCCAAACAGATGCCCTCCTGACTGAGGAAGGGAACGAGGTGAGGAGAGAGGTGCTGCCAGGACTCCCCAGGGGCACAGCCAGTGTCCTCCCACCAGCTTCCTTCCCCTCATCCCTCACCTTGGCCAGAGGCAGGACGATGAAGGCGCCTCCGCCTCCAGCCTCCACAATAATGGCCAGGAATTTGGGATTGACGGCACAGAAGGAGCTGTCCCATGTGACCTTGGACACACGGATGTCCTCGTAGGCCTGGTCAGCCTTTGCTGCCTGCCCAAACACATGGCGGAACTTGCTCTGTCGAACCACGCGCCGGCTCATGGCTGGGGGCAGCGATGGAGGATCTCAGTGCCCAGAAATGCCTCTGGTCCTTAGTCCTGTAAGCTGTGGGAGGGAGAAAGTGTATGTGTATGGGAGAGGGGGAAGGGTGGAAAGTGAGAAGGGTTATCTGGTCGAGTTAGGTATAAATTGATACAGAATCTGGTCCTACAAGCAGGGAGCTTTCTTCAAGGTGATTAAAGCACAAACAAATTCTTTACCATCTATGAAGTTCTGCTTAATGCAAGGGGCTAGGATTTGGGTGGGGTCAGACTTCTTGGAGATGCAGACTCAGGGGGCACTGGGCCCAAAACCTTCCTGGAAGTTGAAGTGGTTGGGGGAGGAGCCTCAATGCCAGGCTGCCCTCCCACTGCCAGCTGCGGGTAAGCATCTCTTCACAGAAGTGGTTTGTCTCCTAGAGGCACCTTGTCCAGAATCAGAGGGCTTGGCCCTCCGATCTTGGCTCAAAGCCAGCTAGAACCACAGCCCCCCAAGATCTGCAGCCCCCCAAGATCTGCATCTCTGGCATAGTTCAGACAGATGGGGTTTTGCCTTTTTCTAAAGCTTTGCCAAGAAGTTCTTCCTATCAGTTAACCTGAATCCTTCCTGCTACTGCTTTCATCAATTTTCCTCCATGCCGTTTTGGGGGCATAGCATAAGGTGGATCATCTCTTTTCCTTCCACTCCTCTCTGTACTGCACTTCTCCAAAAGGCCCGAACCACTATCTTCTGACTTTTGCCTACCATACTTTAGGTCCTGCTTCTCCTCTGAGTCCTGTATCTTACTAAACCCTCCTGGGCCTGGCTGGGTGCTCCACCCCGGGGGCCAGGGCCAGATTTGCAGGAGCAGGGAGCCTGAGGTGCCTTTTCTCCAGAGGGGGCCTGCCCTGTGCTCTTCCCCAGGGGCGCAAGGGGCTCTTCCAAAGCCCCGGCCACTGACACCTGCCCCCTACCCAGTCCCGGGCATCCCCGTGTCCTTCAAGCCGCTTCTGCAGCCTGGGGCCTAAGGCCTGGCCTCCCCGCACCCTCCTTCGGCCTCCTGTCCCAGCACTGTGTTCTTGCGAGACGAGGTGTCTGCACCCTGCGGGCGCGTGGGCCACTGTCCGTCCAAATATAGACACCAAGCCTGCCCCGCCGGGGACCGATTTGGGCGGCCGGGGGGAGGGGGCGCAGACCTGTGCCCTCAACAGACCCCGCCCGCTCCGCCGTCTGCGGTGGCGGCAGAGGGGCAGGGAGAGTACCTGGTCCTGAGTGGGCCGAGGGGGGCTCGCGCTGCGACAGCTCTGCGGAGGGGGCTGGGGGTGCGCTGGGGCCGACGTAGGTGTCAGGGCGCCAGCACGGCCTCTCCGGGTGTCCGCGGCGTCCGGGGCCCGGGTGTTCAACTGCGCTCTCCGGCCGCTGCTTGCGGCTCTCCGAGGCCCGGCGCCCCTGCAGTCCCAGCTGCTGCTGCCATCAACCTGCGAAGGCGGTGCCCAGACAGGGGCGGGGCCAGGAGTGCCCCGCCCCCTCCCGCGGCGGGAAAGTCGAGCGCGGCGGCCTCCGCGGAACCGACCGGCCGGCCTCGCAAAACCATCAAAAGTAGTCGCGTGTGCGCGCGTGCTCCTTCCCGGCGAGCGGCCCTCCGGGTGCGGTGGGGAGGCCCGTGTTCCCACAGCCGGGGCTGTGCGCCGAGGGAGGGACGGGCGAGGAGGGGGCGCGCGCCTCGCCGAGCTGGCAGCCACGCACGGTCAGGTGCCTTCGCGCCGCATTCCTGCGGCCTTCGCACTCCCGATTTAGCCCGGCCCGGGGGCGCGGCCGCGGGGCGGCACCTCCAGGCTCTCTTGGTAGAGGGCCTGGAAGATGCTCCGGGGGACAAAAGTGAATGCACCTTGACCGCCTGGGAACATCAGTTAAAGAGGAGCGGCTGGCACAGGTCTTTGGCCCATCGAAGTTCAGACGCCCAGCCTGGCTCCTAAAGTCTTCTGAGCCTTGTTTGAATTGGTGCCAGCCTCTGTTCCAGGAAAAACCCCTCCTCTTCCCAACCGACCCCCTCAGGACCCAGGGATCTGAGTACTGACCAAAGTTACGGAGGAGATAAAAAGAAACCTGGTCAAAATACAGCCAGTGAAAAACAGTTCGTCCCTGAGTCTGCAGCCTATCCAGCGTCCGCCCTCTGCCTGCATCAGTTTCTTTGGATCCTAAGGCCCTGGCGGGCAGCAGCATGGAGCCAGTTATTACTTCCCGCTCTCCCGGCCACAACTGGGAATCAACGGAACACAGCTTTCCAGATGGCAGAGGTCAGCATTCAGTAAGGGAAGGAAGGTGGTGGGAACCTTGAAGGTGCTTGTGTTCCTCAGGGAGAGTCCAAGTGTTACCAGTGGAAGTGGGGCTCTTGCAGTGTCTAAAGGAAAATAATTTCCTGAGAACAGCAGGGGAGGATGTCACTCTGTGGTATGGTTTATTGATGGTGTACAATTAAGGGGTCCCCCTCCTGCCTTCCCAATATCCCATCTCCACCTGTCTTGCCATGAAAAACCTCCAGTCTTGTCTTTAGTAGGGCCAGGATGAAGGCCACTGCCCAGAGTTTATGCTCCGTTAAAGTCCGGTCCAGTCCAGCGCCAGGTTAGCTTAGTATATGTTTCCAGCGGCAGTTCAAATGCTGGACTCCTTCCTGGGGGCCATGGAGAGAACAGGTGGGTGCACCATACAGTGCATGTCACAAACAAGAGAGAGCGCACTTTTTTTGTTCCCCAGGGGTTATAACTAGGAGCTTGGGTTTGGGCTGGATCAGGTGCTTTCTCAAAAGAACCAATCAACTTTCCAAACTTTCATGGGCTTGGACAGGTTTACACCCCCTAATTAGACTGGCAGGTCTCTATGGTCCAGCACCTCCCCTTGCACCCCCCAACAATCTGGTACTGGAAGCGGGGAGGGAGGAGTGTTAATTCCCTTGGTGGAAGTCAACACCTTGGTTCCCTGGGGTGTGAAGCTGTAGCATCCTGGGGAAGCAAACAGGCTTCTGCTTCCCATTTTATTAAGCTCAGTGTCTAGCTCTTTGCTCTCTTTCCTTTGTCAATATCTAGTTAACTACCGACAGTAACACAAGTACTCAGTGGCTTGTAGGGGAATAGAATCGGAACTGTTACAGATGCTCCAAAACAGGTGCTTCTCAATTATAAGAAGAAATAATTCATCTTAAGGGGGAGATCATGAGGGTAGATGAGGAGTCTCCCATTTAAAGATTCCAGGCACAAAATTAGAAGGAAAAGACCTGAGTGACTGACTCACTTGCTCCTTAGTAACAACAGCTTACACTTATGTGCGAGACACTGTCCTAAGTGCTTTACACATATTAATTCCACCCAGTCTTCTGAGATGGGTATTTTTAATATCCCTATTTTACAGATGAGCAAACTGAGGCACAAAGAGGTTAAGTAGTTTACCCACTGCTCAACTGGTAGTTGGTGCTGCTGAGATTCTTACCCAAGTGGTCTGGGGTCTAGGTCCGTGTTTTTCAGCAGCATGCATTTCTGCCTCTCCTCCAAGGAGTGCCACTTTATCTCATAAGTGCTGATACTGATAATTATGCTTTTGTGACAGAGGAAAGGATGCCTGGACTGATTAGAAAACTGGAGTTCCAGCCCTGCCTCAGTTGCCCTATTTTTGGAGTTCTCTGGGCTATAAAATGAAGAGGCAAGGTCAAGTTCTTTCCAACTCTGTACCACTTGCTGGCAGAGGAGTTTGACATGCTGCCTCCTATCCTGAAAGGGTATCTTTTCTCCCCCCTCTCCATTCTGCCTCTTTATTTTTTTATTTTGTTCTTTTTTTATTGAGGTATAATTGCATACAAAAAACTTCACGTAAGTAATGTACATCATTTGGTAAGTTTGGACATATTATATACACTTGTGATACCATCACCAAAAGCAAGGTAATAAATATATCCATCACTTCCAAAAGTTTTCCTGTGTCCCTTTGTTTTTTGTTTTGGTGAGAAAACCTAACATATATACCTTGTTAACAAATTTTAAGTACACAATAACTTACTGTTAACTATATGTACTATGCTGTACAACAGATCTCTGGAACTTACTCACCTGTATAACTGTAACTTTCGACCATTGAACAACTCCCCTATTCCTCTCCCTCCATCCCCTCGTAACCACCATTCTCCTAATTAGTGGATGATTTTTATGATATACTATTATTTAAAAGACAAAAAAAGAACAGTAATCTTAGGGAACTGTCATCATAATAACACCAGCTATCTTTGTTCCAGGTACCAGCAAGATAAAAAATAAGTTATTGTTAAGGAAAAGAGGTGAGAGGGAGGGACTGAAAAATTCTATTAAGATTGAGAAGCCATAACCTATGCTGGAATTAAAAGAGGAGATCAAACATAGTTCAAACTTTGAGTTTGAGTTTGGGAGGTATACAGAGGAAATTCAGCAAGAGAAATGAGTGTCAGTGGCAAGATATTTGGGGGGCAGGTGAAGAAATAATAGAAACCATTTTAATAATTAAAAATACAAAAAAGACGTTCTAAATCCTAAAACTGTACATGAACATGTGGGCCCAAAGCATGAGTATATGGAGCTCATTAAAACCTAATTTACATGAAGCACACTTCCAGCTAAACCAAGTAACTTTAAACATTTGTATGATGATATTTGGCTGTCTTTTAAAAATTTCATCTCCCACTCAATTTAGCTTCTCAACCCACTATAACCTGACCTCCACTCACAGCACTTAACTGAAACTGCATGGCAAAGGTTATGATTTTCTCATTGCAAATCCAAAGAGCACTTACGTTATTTTTTATTTCCTTTCATCCTCTTTAAAGAGTTAGGCACTAGGAAGCAGGAATTCTTCAATCCAAGCTAACTTCAGTTTCATCACCTGGGAAAGGGGGGCTGTGTGCTCTCCAGGTACAGGAACCAGGATTCATAGGTATTGCTTGAAGCTGGCATGGCTCAGCCCTGCCCTCTAGCCTTCTTTTGGCTGCCAAGCTCTCGGGGAGCCGTTGGTGGGTGGAACCAAGGCAGAAAGAACCAATCAGGTGAAGGGGCCACTTGGGCTGGTGCTTTCCCTTCTTGCTACCCATTTAAACTGTTAGCTTGGCTCTAAACTGCAATCTGTAGAAGACAGGCATGGATTTCATCTTTCCATTTCCTGGGAGAGGTGTCCTGGCAGCTTAAGACACAATTTGGTCCATGTGTTTTGGCTAGAAAGCCGAAGCTGAACTTATCTAGATTGGTTGGGACTCTAGGCACCCCTAAAATATTTCGTGAAATAATGTTGCCTTCATCACCATGCAACCAGAGACCAGCGGTACGCCCCCCCGGCCCCACTTGATATGGACGAATCCAAATAAGCAGGCTGACAATTTTAGTTCAAGGCAGTGTTTTTTTTTTTTCCTGGAAATTTCATTATTTTTTATTAGCAATTTAGAAACTGGAAACTCAGCTTTCCCTACATGGTAGTGCTGCCTTGTATGAATGGTACCACTAAATCTCTCATGATGGGTCTGTGGACGGATGGGAGAAGTGGGGAACCTCTCTTTCCACTCCTAGCCTGTTTCAGAGAACTGCCCTTTTGCCCCATCTCCCTTCCTTCACCATTGACATCAAATGCTTTTCTTCCAATGGTGAGAGGTTAGTTTTTACTTTGGAGAGTCCCCCACCTCCCCATTTCTAGAAATCTTTGAGCGAGCTGAGGTGTCATGCTGAAAGCTTGTGAGCTCTCTTACCAATGTCCAGAGAGGTCATCTAACCAAGAATTTCAGTCCCTGCTAGGGCAGGTCATGGCAGCTGTCCCGGAGCAGTCACTCTGCACCACAGGTGGCAAAGGAATTTTGGTCCCTTTGCTTATTCATTCTCCTAATGTTCAGGTGGTGGCTTTGGCAAGACCCTCTTTGACCAGGCAAGTTCCCGGCTTAGTCACTTGATCGGAGCCACAATATCTGAAATAGTCTTTAGCGAGCCTATTTCCCATGCAGTCTTTATTTTGTGGGAGGTAGAAAGTTATATATATATTTTCCCCATAGATCAGCTATCTGTTAATTAGGGGTGTGCCTTATGAAGACCAAGCAATGGGAATTGCTTTGTGTTTATTATCAGTGTTCCAATCCCTACACCTTCTCCAGCACCCCCAGTTGTTGCACTTATTAAATACACATATTTCATCTTCAAAATAAAAATTTATTCAGTCTGTAACAAGAACATTGAATCTGCACATTTGCGCATAAGTTCACATTTAAAAACAGCGGAGCACATCAGTAATAAAAAAATCTATGATACAAGTGGAACATCCCAACCACCATGAAGATTAAGGAAGGAGATGAGACCACTCTATATTCTGCTTCAAATGCCTCTAAAATGTCCCAGAGATTCCAGGGAGCACCTGCTTTATTTAATAAAATGTGAGCATAAAAATTTGGGGTGGCCTGGGGCAAAGGTAACAGTCTTTTGGACTTACTTTCCGCATTTAGAACAAGTCCTATAAAATAATGTAGGAAGGAATAAAATTAAAAAAAAAGAAAAGAAAGAAAAGGCACCTTAAGCAATACCAAGCAAACCAAAATCCAATAAAACATAAAACCCAAACAACTCCCTGTGGGCTTCCTGATTGGGAAACATTTCAGGGCCAGTCA